AGCTCTCATTAGTCCTTTGTGTGTTCTGATGTCACTTTCTTTGAGTCAGTTCCATTCTTCTCAAGTGTTGATGTTCCTCCTCCTGCTTCTGTGTCCCCTTCCAATTCTAGTTGAAGACCCTCTTCATACAATTCCTGTTCTATCTCAGTCGCCGTCTTCTCAGTGGAGGTTAATACTGAGAGTCCACCAATCACACAAGTGTATACTCAAAGAAGAGCATCGGCCCCTCCTCCAGTTCAGCCCTCGTCAACAGATCCTGCAATTGCACCTCCTCCTTCTGAACTTGATCTTCCTATTGCATTGCGGAAAGGTAAACATAGTTGTACATCTCATCCTATTTCTCATTATGTTTTTGTTGCTCACCTTTCTGCTTCCCATCGACAGTTTTTATCCTTGTTATCATTTATTTCCATTCCTAAGATTGTCCAAGAAGCCATCACTTCTCCAGGTTGGTGGCAAGCAATGGAAAAGGAATTGTCTACACTGACACACAATCACATGTGGGAACTTACCACTCTCCCTCTTGGTAAGCATGTTGTTGGGGATACAAGTGGGTTTACACAGTGAAATATCTTCCAGATAGAGTGTGGAACGGTTGAAAGCTAGGTTAGTGGCCAAAAGCTATTCTTAGTTATATGGTGTTGACTAACGTGTGATTGTGTCCTCTCCATAGGTGAAGGACACCTGTCCCTCCCACTTAAAGAGAGGGAACTCCCATACGGAACACATGTTTTTTAACTTTGATAATTTGCTAGCAGATTAGCCAACCCACTTATTTGGGTTATAAATTATTTAAATATTATTTGGAAAAAAATTCTTCCAACAATCAGGAGGAGGTTGAAGAAAGTCTAGGCTGTGAAGGATTCCTTTTATTTTTGTTTTTTAGAGAGAGTAACAATTTTATTCAAAAAAAGGAGAGAAATACATGAGAGAATGTACAAAAAAGAAAAAGGCTTTCTAACTCTCTAGCAGACACTTTGGCTAAACAAGGGGTGGGAAGAGCAAATCTTTTTTGGGCATTGTTGTAATCTAATTTTTAATGTTAGGGAGGGTTAAGAGTTTTTACCCCTCCCTTCTTTTTGTAATTTTCTATCATCTTCTTAATAAAAGTTGTTGTTATTGATCAAAAAGAAAACAACAAAAAAGAAAAAAGAAAAAGGCTTTGATACAAGAAAAAAGCCAAAAATCCACTCAAGACATAGGTAAGCTATTTGCACTATACAAAAAAATTTCTCCAATCCATATTTAACTAAAGAGAGCCATTTAATTTAGTTCTCTTGGAATCCATCTATAGTAGCAGTGAAGGGAAACAAATATTTCTTTAATTTCATGGAGTTGGACAGCCTCCAAGGACCAGTCCCAAAATTGATAGCTCAACCAAGACATTCCTAGAGTCACCCTCCACTAGCAGAGAAGCAGCTTGGTCTTTGGCAAATCTGAGACTTGAACTTCAAGTTTAGAGGTAATGAGGTATCCCTTGCATTTTTTTTTTTATCAGCCAAAAATCTTTAAAAATTTATCGAGTGATGCTTGTGAATGATTCGATTAACCCTAGTTCAGTTCTAGGTCTAAAGTAAGTAAGAAGAGAAGAAGAGAAAGAAGAGAATAGAAGGAGAAAGGGTTCGGTCAGAGAAGAAGAAAAGTCGCCCTCTCTCAGCCAACCCAGTTTATAATTATACTCTTTGCATTAGATTACAAAAGACAGATTTGTATTAAGTATGGGACACACAACTTAAACCCAGAAAAAATAGACAATTTAACCTTAATTAGATAGACAAAAGACTTAATTACCCTTGTACTGTCGATTCTAACACTCCCCCTCAAGTTGGAGAGTATATATCATATAGTCCCAGCTTGTCACATATATAATCCACTCTTCCCCGACTCAAACCTTTTGTAAACAGATCTGCCCATTGCTTTCCTGAACTCACATGAGTTGTATTTATCACTCCACTTATCACCTTTTCTCTTACAAAGTGGCAGTCAACTTCGATATGTTTTGTTCTCTTGTGAAAGACTAGATTAGAAGAAATGTGAGCAGCAACTTGATTATTGCAGTACAACTTCATGGGTCTATCAACTGAGAACCCAATTTCCTGCAAAAGATTTTTAAGCCACACTAGCTCACATGTAGTATGAGCCATAGCCCAATACTCAGCTTCAGCATTGCTTCTTGCCACCGCTGTTTGTTTCTTGCTCTTCCAAGTTACCAGATTGCCACCAAGGAAGGTACAATACCCTGTAGTGGATCTCTTATTAGACACAGATCCGACCCAGTCAGCATCTGTATACCCCTATATCTCAAGAGTTCCTCCACTCTTGTATAACAGTCCACGACCTGGAGCTCCCTTCAATTACTTAACAATTCTTAGAATTGCTTCCCAATGTGGAACTTGAGGACATTGCATAAACTGACTCACCATGCTTACAACAAATGATATATCTAACCGAATAATAGTCAGGTAGTTCAATTTACCCACCAACCTCCTGTACCTTCTAGGATCATCAAATTCTTCATCTGCATCAATACTCAACTTAACATTCGGTTCCATGGGTGTTTCAGTTGGTTTGGCACCCAACAACCCTGTTTCTTCAAGTAAATCAAGGACATACTAACTTTGGCACAAGTTAATGCCATGCCTTGACCTTGCAACTTCTATCCCCAAGAAATACTTTAGCTTACTCAAATTTTTTGTGTGGAAGTGATCCTGTAGAAAGTTTTTCAACCTATCAATCCCATTGTTGTCACTACCAATTATGACAATATCATCCACATACACCACTAACAAGATTTTCCCAGCTTCTGATTCATGGTCTAATTGGCACTGTTTCATGCCAAAGTTCACTACTTCACTGAATCTACCAAACCACACACGTGGAGATTGTTTCAGTTCATAAATCGCCTTCTTAAGTTTGCAAACTTTACCATCCTCCCCCTGAGCAACAAGCCCTGATGGTTGCTCTATATATACCTCTTCAACAAGATCACCATGTAAGAAGGCATTTTTTATGTCAAGTTGAAAGAGGTCATACATTGCTGCTAAAGAAATCAACACCCGAATTGAACAAATCTTAGCCCATAGGAGAAAATGTCTCCGTATAGTCAACACCATATAACTAAGAATAGCTTTGGGCCACTAACCTAGCTTTCAACCGTTCCACACTCTATTTGGAAGATATTTCACTGTGTAAACCCACTTATATCCAACAACATGCTTACCGAGAGGGAGAGTGGTAAGTTCCCACGTGTGATTGTGTGTCAGTGTAGACAATTCCTTTTCCATTGCTTGCCACCACCCTGGAGAAGTGATGGCTTCTTGGACAATCTTAGGAATGGAAATAAATGATAACAAGGATAGAAACTGTCGATGGGAAGTAGAAAGGTGAGCAACAGAAATATAATGAGAAATAGGATGAGATGTACAACTATGTTTACCTTTCCGCAATGCAATAGGAAGATCAAGKTCAGAAGGAGGASGTGCAATTGCAGGATCTGTTGACGAGGGCTGAACTGGAGGAGGGGCCGATGCTCTTCTGTGAGTATACACTTGTGTGATTGGTGGACTCTCAGTATTAACCTCCATTGGAGAAGACGGCGACTAAGATAGAACAGGAATTGTATGAAGAGGGTCTTCAACTAGAATTGAAAGTGGACACAGAAGTAGGAGGAGGAACATCAACACTCGAGAAGAATGGAACTGACTCAAAGAAAGTGACATCAGAACACACAAAGGACTAATGAGAGCTAGGGTTATAATACTTATACCCTTTTTGGGTTCTAGAGTAGCCAAGAAAGATGTATTTTGTARCACGTGCATCTAACTTGTCCAATCTAGGTCCTAAATTATGAACAAAACAAACACAACCAAAGA